TCCTTCCGCGTGAATTCATTTCTTAAACTTAACAGTTATTTATTAGCACAACAAAGCGTGTTCTCGCTGTGCTAATGTGCAAGGCAGTGTGATGCACCCCAGTGAAGTCATGACAATGATTTGCTCACTGTCTGGGCATTATGGAGCTGCTGAGGTGGACGATGCCCTCGCACTGTCCCTGTGTCCCCTCTGCCCCCCAGCTCTCACAGGAGTTGTTGCTTTCCCCACCCAGCTCCCCCTGAGCAGGGACTGCCTGGGAAAGGCTGAAGAATCCCAGTTTCTTTCACTGATGTAGCTCTGATTGAGTTTTTGTTGCATGGAGGAGGAATAGGGAAATTTCTGAACGCAACAAAGACGTGAAAGAGCAGCAAACAGAGCAGTCCATAATAATAAAATCTCTGGCAACACAATTCCTGTGCAGCTTGGGATGTAACCACTGCTTCCCCCCTGGCAGCCTCAGCTGGAATCACCTTCCATTCCCACAACTTTTACCCAAATCTCAGAGAAGCCACAATGGAAACTGCTGTTTTTAGGTTCCATCTCCTCCAAATTGGCTGCTGCAGCTTTTCCTGGCTTCACACACGCTCCCAGAGAAGAAAAGCCCCGTGTTTTGTGTGGGATCTGTCCTGGAGTTCCTGCTCTCTCCTGCAGTGATTAAAAAGATTAACTTCAATTGTCAGGAGTTGTAGTGAAAAGCGGCAAAGGCTCAACACTTAATTACAAAGGGAAACATGAAAGTGTGGCACTATAAAAACGTGGTAATTAACCTGTCCTCAGCCTGCTCCGCTCCCACTGGGGAAACCTGGCACCCCTTCCTTGGGATGCTGAGCATTCTGCTGCCAGATAAAGCTGAGGCTGCAGAGAAACCCCATCTCAACATCTTCATAAGCCCTCAGTTTGGTCCCTGCACGGCACAGCAGACAGGAGCTCGGGCACCAGCACCAGGGTGGGCAGGGCTGGGCTCTGGGAGCACTGGGATGTTCCTGGAGGAGCACTGGGATGCTCTGGAGGAGCACTGGGATGTTCCTGGAGGAGCACTGGGATGTTCCTGGAGGAGCACTGGGATGCTCTGGAGGAGCACTGGGATGTTCCTGGAGGAGCACTGGGATGCTCTGGAGGAGCACTGGGATGTTCCTGGAGGTCTGCTCAGAGCCCATCTCCGTTTCACAGCCTGGCTGTCTCCCTGTCTGACACACTTTGGTTTGTTCAGCTGCCCAGGAGAGGAAATCGCTTTTCCTTGGAGGTGAGGGTAGAATTCACAGAATCACAGAGTGATTGATGTTGGGAAAGAGCTCTGGGCTCTCGCAGGCAGGCAGGAGAGCTCCATCAGAGCAGGAGGAGCTGCTCTGGAGTCTCTGCACTCCGGGTTCTGCTGAGATCCCCGAGCAGAGCATCCCTCCCTGCCAGCACTGCCAGCAGCACCAGTGATTTATTCTGCTGCCACCTCAGGGCCAAACAGAGATGGGAGGGACCTCCAGGGTATCCAGGGACTGCTTGGGAGAGCATCACAAGGGAGCAGCTTCCAGGAAGGAACTCAAACTGTCAGCGCTGACTCCAGGCACCAGAGCCCCTGGCTGCAGGAAGGCTGCCAGGGACAAGCTCTCATGCACAGAGTGTAAGGCAGCAAAAAACCCCTTATTTTTCTTCTTTTCCTCTTTTTATTCCCCCCCCCAATAAGCTACTTGGCTGCAAAGGTGTTTAGAATTACCAGCACTTCACATTATGGTGCAAAATCATCTTGCAGTGTTATCTTAGAGCTGTAAAATGGGATATGCCAGCACAAAAAAGGTGTCAATTTAATATAATTTATATGATATATTAAGGTCCTTCCCACCCAAACCATCCTGGGATTCTTTAGGGCCACAGGAGTGGGGATCCCTGGAGTCCCATGGCTGTACAAGACCCTCCACCCACCAACAGCCAGGAAATGAATGAACAATAAATACAAACTTCTCTCTGAAGGAAGCAAAAAATACCTAAATAAATCACAGCTTAAACCTACTCCTGTTTCTGTTCACGCAGCACCAGACCAGATTTCCCACCGAGAATAAGGTCAACTTTAAAGCAACGATTTAAGAAATGTAAAATAAGAGTAGTTTTATCAGCTGGCTGCGCTCTGGAGGCTTCCCTTGGCAGCAGGAGCTGCAGCCCAGGCACTCTGCACACACAGCCCCAGCCTCCCCTCCCGGGCACCCCACGCTCCCCATGCTCACAGGGCCAGCCCTGCCATTATTGACTGCAGGAATCCAATCCCCCCCAGCTGCCTCCGGGATGCTGATGGGATGGAGATGGATGGGTCTGTCCCCATCTGCTCCTGGGGGACAGGAGGAACCAAGGAAGTTGGTGAATGTTAAGGATTTTTCTAAGTGGCTGTCAGGTCGCTTCCCGAGTGCAGGCAGTGAAGGCACTTCTCTCTATTTGTTTTGTGTTCAGCCTAAACAGCGATGAACTCGAGCCTGAAATAATGTAAAAGCCCCAGATTTGTGTGTGAGGCGTTGTTTAAATTCCCATTAGAACAAAACAAAACTGAAGTGGGGGGAGAGGGGCTGTTTAAGCTGGAGAAAAGAGGCTCAGGGAAGCTCTCACTCTCACAAAGCCCTGGCAGGAGGGTGCAGCCAGGGGCCCATCGCTTCCTCCAGGGAACAGGGGACAGAGGAAATGGTCTCCAGCTGGGCCAGGGGAGGTTCAGGTGGGATATTGGGAACATTTCTGCACCTAAAGGGCTGTCCAGCCCCAGCACAGCCCCCAGGCCATGGAGCAGTCCCTGTCCCAGGAGGGATTTAGAGCCCTGTGGATGTGACCCCTGGGGACAGGTCCATGGTGGCCTTGGCAGTGCTGGTGGAGTTGGTGACCTTTGGGTCTTGTCCAACATCAGCAATTCCCTGGCTCTGTGATTTGTCCCTCTAAAGCCAGCTGTGGAACGTTTCCAGCAGGGTGAAGGGTCCCCAGTTCCTGAGGAGAGCAGAGGTCACCCCAGGCCAGGGCTCCGATCCCTCCCTGTGCCGTGATCCGAGCAGCCGTGCTCGATGGAGCCCTGCCAGCCCAGAGCACACAGAATAACCCACTCCTTTCATGGATTCACTCCTCTCCCTCCTCTCAGCACAGGAACACCCAGCTGCTGATCCCTCCTGCCTGGGGCACACTCTGCCCTTCGCAGCACACCGTGGCTCCAGCAGCAGGAGTGACCCCCAGAGCCCAGGGAACACCCCCTGCACACATTCCCTGCTCTTTCTGCAAAAACTCCTCTCCTGGAACAGCCTGCAGGAACAACACACCGAGCTGCTCATCCTCCCCACCGCAGGGAAAGCTGCTCCTGCTCCCCAGGCTCTGCAGACACCTCTGGGAAGGTTTTCCTGCCTTCTCCTCTTAATGCCTTTATGGGGCTACCTAAAAACAGAGGCCAGACAGAATGAAGGGAATAAAATTGAAGGGCCTTGAATAATATTGAAGGGCCTTCAGGTACATTTAGGGCAGTCAAAGCCCCCCAAAAATGGACGCTGGCTCATGGATTTTCACACTTTTATAAGTTTGGTCCATTTGCATTTTGGGGGCTGATTTTCCAATTCCAGCTGCAGGGAATGAAGTCATTTAGCCCAAGTTTGCTGCCCCCAAGTCCCTTTTGTTTCCATCTCTGGGGCCTGAGGCAGTGAGGTGTCCTTGATTGCCAGGCCTGGAGAGGAATTGCTGTGTCTGCCCAAAGTGGGGAAGCAGCAGCTGGCACTGGGTGTGGAGTTTGGAGTTCTGCACTAAACAACTGCAGGGTTACACAGAGATGGAAACACAGAAGGTGAAATCCTGAGGCATGGCTGTCCCCACAGCTGAAGTGGCCAGCCTGGAGGCAGCCCAGGGTGGCACAGGGCTGGGCAGCAGCTGGCAGGGCTGGTGGCTGTCCCAGAGGCACGTGCTGACGGCTCTCACAAAGCCTTCCTTCCCTTCAGGAGCCGGGCACGGCACGGCTGTCGCTTCCTGTGCAGGGCAGAACACGGCACCTGAGACACTGAATTCAATCAGACCCTGAAACAGGCAGGGCTTCAGGAGCAAAAACAGATTTCCTGAGTTATTTTCCATTCCCCCCCCCACCCCTTTTCTTTTTATAGCATCTCTCTTTGGTGGCTTTCCTTCATGCACTGGATACTCCCAAGGAAGAAGGCTCCAGTAGCCCAGTATTAAAGCTAAGAGGGTAAAGACACAGGTGCAAAGGGGGGTTTTGTGCTGTGTTATAGAGACAGAAATGCAGAGCAGCCACAGCAAATCTCAGGGAGAGAGCAAAGCTCGGGGGTGCTCCTGCTGCCCATGGTGAGGCTGGGATCAGGGTCTGGAATCAAATCCCAAAAATACTTTTCCACATGCAAACAGTGGAAGTTTTGGGGGATTGTTCAGCCTGGAGAAGCTCCAGGGAGAGCTCAGAGCCCCTTGCAGGGCCTGAAGGGGCTCCAGGAGAGCTGGGGAGGGACTGGGGACAAGGGCTGGAGGGCCAGGAGCCAGGGAATGGCTCCCAGTGCCAGAGGGCAGGGCTGGATGGGATTTGGGGCAGGAATTGTTCCCTGGCAGGGTGGGCAGGCCCTGGCACAGGGTGCCCAGAGCAGCTGGGGCTGCCCCTGGATCCCTGGCAGTGCCCAAGGCCAGGCTGGACATTGGGGCTGGAGCAGCTGGGACAGTGGGAGGTGTCCCTGCCATGGCTGGGGGGACTGGGGGGGCTCTGGGGTCCCTTCACTCCAAATCATGCAATGATCCAACGATCCTCCACAAACAGGAGGGGTTTAATGCACTCACCATGGAAAGAACTTTTCTGGGTGGTTTTGGGGCCCCCAAAAAAGGGAAGAGAGATCCCAGAGAGTTGTGCAGGGGCTCTGGCTGAGCCCCCAGGCCGGGCTGTGCCTCAGGACGAGGCTGCACAGGCAGCAGAGTTCCTGTGCCACGCTCCAGTGGCTGCTCCAGTCAGGATCCAGGAGCTCTGTTTGCAATCCACTTGTAATGAGATACAGTTGAGACTGCTACCAAGCACAAAATCTATTTAAAGATATTCCAGGTATTCTCAATGAAGTTACATTATCTCGAGTTAACATCCCTTTAAAAGCACATCATTCACTCTTAACCCTTCCAGTCTTTAGTGCTCTAAGGAAAGCCACAGCCTGTTTTGTGCTGTTTGAGAGTCAGATCAAGCCCCAGCCTCACCACACAATCTGTTTAGCCATCAAAAGCGTTTTCCTGCCACACTAACACCCAGCAGGGTCCCAAAAAATCACCCTCAGTGGTTTTACCGGGTGAAGAGTGCAGCCTGAAGGTGCCCCCAGCTCCTCCATCCTCTGCAGCCGTGTCTGGGGGAGCTCTGTGCTCGGGGAGGTCCCTCCTGCTGAGGGATGTGCAGCACCAAGGGGCTCCATCCTTCATTCCCCCACTGATATCCCGATGGAAACCCTTCTGCAGCATCCTTCTCTGAAAGAGAGAGGAAGGGGACACTTCCCACCTGGGACACGAAACGTGGGAAAAGAGCCAGCAGAGGAGCGAGACCCCCTCGGCTGTGGGCTTGGAGAGGTGTGAGAACAGACCCAGAGCTGCTGCTCTCCCTCTCCTGGAGTGGCTCAGAGGGCTCCAGGAGCATCCTGCCCACAGCTGCTCCAGGCTCTGGCTGGGCACAGGGCTCTGCTGGCTCTGGGCACCACTGGAATTCAGCCCCGAGGAGCAGGGGGAGAGCCACAGGCACAGCCAGGCCCCAGCAGCAGCTCCAGCCATTCTCTGGGCTGGGGACACAGAACCCAGCTCATTTCCTTGGTAAAGAAAATGAACAAAACCCAGCTCTCCATATCCTACAATATATACAGAGACATACACAAAATAAACAACTCCAGTTTTGTGCCTCTTTTTCTGATCCATTCAAGAAGTATTAATTGACCCAGGATTTTGAAAATAACGTCAAAATGACTGGCAAAGTATTTACCATCCATCAGAACTAATTCCCTCCCTGGCAGCTATTACAGGGCTCCCACAATTATTGGCCTCACCTGCAGCAGATGCAATCGCAGGCGAAGGCTGAGCACACGGACCAGCAGCTCGTAATTTTCTACTCATCTGACCCTCCAACTTGGTAATCTTCTCTTTTATAGCATTCTATGAAGAGGAGGGAAGATGATGAGTAGGGTAAGGAAGAATAGCTAACAGGAGAAAATAATAAAAAGAGTCAGAAAAGAGGTGATCCATAATTTACCACAAACAGCAGCACAAGGACTTCAGGCTTTACAGGGACAAAGCAGGAACTGAATCTACATTCTCAATGTGGGCATTTCCTTGCACTGGGTGTCCTTTCTTCTCACTTATTTCAGAATATATTTTTTAAGTATCTATTTCAGCAAAAGAAAAATATCTTTTTTCCTGTAAGTACCTGGTGTTCCTGAGGCAAAGTGAGATTGTGTGGCCATTTGGTGCAAGAGTTCAGCAGGAAGGGCACTGGGGGAGGAATGACAGAAATGAAAGTGCTCAACAGGACCCAGCCTGGCTGAATTTGGAGTTCTGCTGTTCTTTGACATGTATATGAAATCATAGCAGCAAAAGATGTTACTGTCAGTTCTTCTGGCATCACCTTTGAAGCCTGACATGGGATGGTGGGAATTTACTTGGAACTGGTTTGTGTATTTCTTTTTAAATGTTTTTTAAAATATATAATTTTGGTAAGGAAATAAATGCAGTGGAAAATATTTCATCTTTCTAAACACAGCATGGAACTGAAATTCAATATATTCTTTCTGTCTTATTCGCTGAACCTTCTTTCCTTACTGTGAGCATGTGGGTGAAGCTAACTGCTCTTCAGGAATACAGCTCTGCTGCTTATGGAATTCACAGCAGAAAAGCACCTCAGAGCTGGATCCAGCCTCTCCTTATCTTCAGGCAGCCACATCCACTCCTCACCTCCCTTCCCATGGTTCCCACACCCAGACATCCCCATTCCATGGCAGGAAGGGGGATTTACCCTCAGAGTCCCAGCTCCTAAAGGAGCTCCTGTGCTGGTTTTGTCTGCCCTGGCAGAAAACTGCTGCACTTGAGGGTCTCACCAAAAAAATGCCTGAAACCTGGGTTCCCATCAGAAATGGAGCTCTTTAAACAAATCCCTTTTTACAAAGCTACACCCACAGAAAGGCTTTCAGCCTAGCAGAGCAGGCACCCAGCTAAACTCCTTGGAATGCCTTTGCAGATCTTCCCCCTCTGAAGCCACGGGGAGCTCAGGGACAGCAGGACCAGCAGCACCACTGAGCCTGGAGACCTCCAGAAACCCCAGGGAAAAGGCTCTGTGAGGTGGAGAGAACGGAATGTGAGGCTGAGGAAACCTCCAGCAGCATTTCCCACACAAAAGCTCGCTGAGAAGTGTAAATAAATACGAATATTGTGATTCCCGCTGCCGCGCTCGTTTCCAGTCTCCAAGGACACCTTGCAGGGCCGTTCCTCTCACTCTGAATAGCTGATCAGCAAATTAAAATACTTTCATTAGGCTCCTTTTGTTTGAGTGGGAACAATTGTGCCGAGCTCCCAAGGCCTGCAGCTGAGGAACAATATCCCAGAGCCACCACACAGATCATTGCCAGTGCCTGTGCAACAGGGCCCTTCCCAGCTGAGCTCAACTGTTCTTCAATCTCCTGGCTATCAAACAAATACAACTCAGAGCATTTTGTGGGTAAATTCATGTAAACTGACTGGGAAAGGAGAGGGGAGGTGGGGAGAGGGGAGCAGCAGGATATTCCCAGGGATAAACGTGAGGATCCTTTGGACAGGGGCAGCAGGACAGGGCGGTTCTGCCCCTGGGCTCAGGTGAGACCCCACCTGCAGAGCTGCCCCAGCCCCATCCAAACACAGGGAGCAGCTGGAGCTGCTGCAGGGAGCCCAGAGGAGGCTCCAGGAGGAGCAGAGGATGGAGCAGCTCTGCTGGCAGAGCTGGGAACGTTCACTCAGAGAGGAGAAGCTTTGGAGTGAGCTCGGTGTGGCCTGGAGGGGATCACAAGAAAGATGGAGAGGGGCTATTGACAAGAGATGGGATGACAGGACAAGGGGGAATGGCTTCAAAAATGGGAAGAGAGCAGATTTAGGTCAGATGTTTGGGATAAATTCCTCCCTGTGAGGGTGGGAGACCCTGGAATTCCCAGAGCAGCTGGGGCTGCCCCTGGATCAGGCCAGGCTGGACAGGGCTGGGAGCACCTGGCACAGGGGGAGGTGGAATTGGAGGAGCTTTAAGGTCCCTTCCAACTCATTCTATGATTTTGCTGATCCCCATCTTGCCCAAGGAACCAGGGAATTTCTGTGGCACAAAAACAAGTGGGAGCCAAGCCACTCACCTGCAGTATTTTTTTGTAGATGTTTACAACAGGCTTGCAGGGCGGTGCACTTCCAAAATGTGAATTCACACTGCCAGGAGCTTTTGTTTCAGCTGTTACCTGTGCAACTTCCAGCCTCATTAAATTACAAAATACAGTTTTTCAATGAACTCAGCTAATAAATGCAGAGATGCTTCTCTGTGGAAAAAATAAATAAATAAATAAATAAATCCTTTTTTAACACATGAAAAATTATCACAATCAAATTCCATTGTAAAATGCACTTCCGAGTTTGTTTCCCCAGCTTTATTACCTACACTACTGGGATATTTTTATTTTTCCTGAAGTAGGAGTGAGTATCTAAATGAGAGGAGAATGGATGATATACAGCTGGAAAATGGCTGTGAAAAGCAAGGGGCCAAAATTTATCTCCATCGTTGCACACAACGAAGCTCGTGTGTTATAAACAGATATTGAAAGAGAATAAATCAGAATGGCACCAATGATCATAATGGTCCAGCCTGGAAATCAGGAGTCAGGATCCCGTTTTTCCTGGCTTTGTAAGGAATAGAGCAGAGGAGACAGGTGGGGAGAAAATAACCTGGGATGGACAGGAGGGAAAAGCAGAGCGAGACAGGACAGGGGAAAAAGGGGGAACAGCAGCTGGAGCTTGTGATTTCCCAGGCAGGGATGAGCTGCAGCCACCAGGGGAGATTCCCAAAGGGATGCTGAGGTTGACAACAGATCACAGAAGTGATGGGAATTCTTTTGCCTGTGCACAAGGGAATGAAGGGAGCTGAGGGGCCCAGGGCTGAGGGGAAGCACTGGCAGAGCAGGACATGGGATGGAGAGAATATTCCTCCAGCTTTTCCAGGGAAAAGGGGCTTTGGGTGGACAGGGCTGGATGGCTGCATCCAGAGACAGATTTACTGTGCTCGGAAGGGAAGGGAATAAGGGAATCCACGTGGTCTGGGTGAGGACAGAACAGGCTGGAAAAGCTCCTGTGGAGCAGAGCTCAGGGCCAGCAGCACGAGCAGTGAGAGAGGAGAGGGAAGGGAAAATGCCAGGATCTGGGATCAGGGATCTGGGATCAGGATCAGGGATCAGGATCAGGATCAGGGGTGGCTGTGGGGAGTGACCAGGGCAGGGCAGCTGCAGTGGGGCAGGGACAGGATCGGGGCTCCCAGGGAACAGCCCTGGGCTGACACAGGAAGGAGCAGGGTGCTGTTTCCAGGGGGAAAAGGCTGCACTGTAAATCCAGACCTCAGCATGTGCCAGAGGATCCTCACAGGACAGAGTGCTCCTCATTCCTGCCCTGGGAGTGGATGTGCTTGATCCAACCACTGTCCCGAGATGAGGACACCTTCCCTTCCCTTCCCTTCCCTTCCCTTCCCTTCCCTTCCCTTCCCTTCCCTTCCCTTCCCTCATTCTCTGTGCTGCTCTCCTCTGCTCAGCACACATTTGACCTCAGGGAAGAAGTGGCTGTGAAAAACAGGCCTAGGAAGAGAGAACATTTATTTTCTGGCATAAATATAATAATAGTAATACAGTAAAATCTGGCTCAGAAGCCGAGGGCTTATGTATTTCACATTTTGTGTCTTAAATATTTAAATTCATGGAAATGTTTACTTAGATACTTATATTTCATGGGCTATAAAACAATAATAACCAACTCCAAATTAGTCATTTCCTTTCAGATAATAAAGTCACAATGAGAAAAAATTTGTAGCTTCCAGTTGTTCCAACCAGTGTTTGAAACAACATGAAAATCTCTTCAGCAGTCATTACAGCATAATTGCTTTGGAAAGCTGCAAGAGAATTACCACAGCTTTTAGTTGCTGTTTGTTTTGCTAAAGGAAAGTTAATTTTATTCAAAATTATTAACTATTTCCACCTCCTTATCCCTACAAAGCAGAGAAATGAATTGGGAATTTCTGTTCAATAGAGAATCATTAATGCAGGGAAAAACCTCCAAATCCCCGAGTCCATCTCTGATTAGCAAACTCTATCAAAAGACTTTTCTAGCAATGAAATCACACAGCTCATTTCTCTCGAACCTTTCAGAAAGCAGCTCAGACATCCAGGATGCATTGCCTTGATTTTGTGGTGGTTTTTGTGGTAAAGCAAATATCCACGTGCAGCTTTGCAATCCCAGTTCGGTGTGAAGCTCACAAATGAAGCATTTCCTTCTGTAAACACAAAAGGAAATATAATTAGTAATGGTATTTTATCAATATCTATTGGCATAATTATTTGGTTATATTTGGTTTTAAATTTATATAAATATTTCTATTTTATTTCTATTTTATCTCTATTTTATTTATTTATATTTATACTTATATTTATTATATTTATACTTATATTTATACTTATACTTCTATTTCTATTTCTATTTCTATTTCTATTTCTATTTCTATTTCTATTTCTATTTCTATTTCTTACATTTGCATTTGCATTTCTATTTCTATTTCTACTTCTATTTCTATGTCTATGTCTATTTATATTTATATTTATATTTATATTTATATTTATATTTATATTTATATTTATATTTATATTTATATTTATATTTTATTTATTATTTTGTTAATTATTTTTTACAGACATCTTTACATTTTAGCTAATTAAGAGGCTGCATTTAATTTCTGTTTTTTGGGGGATACTCAAAATTCCTGTCTGATGCTGAAGCACTGGGGATGCCAGGTGGGATTTTCTGGCAGTTTTACAAAGCTTTTTGAAGGAAAGCAAACGTGAAGTATTTGAGCTGGAAGACAAAAACCTGATGTTGAAGCACAAGTCTGAGGCTCGGGATGTTCTGTTCCCATCCCTGGCAGGAACTCCCTGGGGCATTTCCAGGCAGCTTCCCCAGCCTCGCCTGCCTTGGGGGGGCTCAGGGGGCTGGTCCTGCCCTTCCCAAAGCTGCAATTCCTGCAGGTCCTGGAACCTTGGGAAGGAAATCCTCAGAATCCCAGACTGGCTGGGTTGGGAGGGATCTTAAATCCCCCCCAGTGTCCCCAGCCATGGCAGGGACACCTCCCCCTACCCCAGGGTCACCTCCCCAGGGTCACCTCCCACTGCCCCAGGGTCACCTCCCACTGTCCCAATGTCCAGCCTGGCCTCTGGCACTGCCAGGGA